GCAACATAGCTGTTATGCTAACTGCTGGTCCACAACATATTTGAAATTTTAAAATTTAGGTAGAATACAATTATCTCTAACTTAAACATATAAATTTCTACTTTACATATGTGATCATTGAGAATGTCATCAAGTGATACTGTTATTTATGGAAACCTTGTAGAATGTGGACTCATTAAGACCAAGAGTAACACAGATATTGCTCAGAGAGAATGGGCTTTTAGTAAATATGAATCTTGATCTGGAATTTTTACATTGATTATATTGCACAGTGATCCAGCTTTCTGGTGAAGATCTAAATGAATGATCTTGCCAAGTAATGGTCAATTTGAGAACAGCTACAGGCTAGTAATATGACATTAATAACAGGACTTTCAAGACTGAGCCAGGAGCTCAAAGGAAAGAGATAAAGCAATATTCAAAAATCTCTTTTCTCTATTGAACAGAGCATCTATCAACATAAATTCTTTCTTTGTTAAGAATTAGATGGATAGGAGTCAGCAGCTGGCATGATGGTTAAGGTGCTGGATTTTCCATATGTCTGACCACAGCTTGAATTCCAGACCCAAAGCCTTGAAAATCACACCAGGCACATATGCATGTACGCCTAAAATCCTAAGAGGAGAACACAGGAGAAGGGACTGTGGCACACATGCACCATATGACAAAAAAAAAAAAAAATCCTAAACAAAAGGTGTGTGAATACTGTACCTTCTACCAAATCTGGCTTAACAAGGCAAATAACTTCTCCTTTTAAGTCACTAAGCCAGTACCCGATAACATATAAAATTGAAAAGTAATACACCAGTTTCAGACATACATATCTACACAGTATTGATCCATGAGTGATCACAAATTAGAACTCAGTGCTCTGATTATGACTTTCAAAGATATATTAATAGCTGCTAAAGATATTATCTATTTCCCCTTTAATTATTAATATTTGTTCACTCATTCAGCTTCAAAATGAGAACTTTTTTTGTTTTTTTTTGTCCTTGATGATGAAGGTAAGCACTTGACACTGATGGGACATTTGAAATTTAAAGAATTTTGGCACCAATCAGGAGCAATTTAGATCTGTCATGTCAGTATCTTTTGGGCAGCAAGTGAAAGGCATTGCTGTACTTGGATATCAGGGGCCATGGAGGAAGTTGTCGAGTCAGTATGTCAGTATTTAAAATCATTCTAAATAAAGCGGAGTCTGTTGGGAGTCAGTTTTTAAAATCACAATTTAAACACTCTAAGTATTAAAGATATGTGAAGATATGCTTTAGAATGAATCATGTTCTTCTCTTAAGATCCCCCGCTAAGCCAAAGTGATAAAAAAAAGTAAAATTAGACTCTAGTGTTAAAATTCTACTAATATAGTATAATAAATATTTATGGAATTTGTTCATATAATATAAACACATACTAAAATTAAGGATTATATATGACAGATTATGCCAGGTAAACAAATATTACAGATCTAACAAAGCGTATCTTAAGCTGCCATTATTTTGGATCAAAGTAGGTCTAAAACGTGTCACTCAAAGCCATGTATTTTCACTCAGATCATGCAATAACTGTTTAGCTGTAGGCTTATCACTCAGGTGGATTATGTTGTTTATTCATTCATGCCCTGGGTCTGTCAAGGTTTAGTCAAGAGACAGAGCTTGCACTTATCCTTATAACAATAAGAATTTAATATGCAGGGCTGTCAACTGTAAATAAGTGTGTTAACCATGTAGTTCAAGAGAAGAAAAAAGAACTGGAAGTTTTCACAGAGAAAGCAACTTCAGAAAAGTGACTATACTGACTACTGGGAGAACAAAGAGAATATGGTGGGATTATTCAAATTTAGACCTTGAAGAGAGGGGCCTTTGAAGATGACACTCAGCACTTTAAGGAGAGGGCATTCATCTGGTAGTTTTCATGCTTTGGTCCTGAGAAGAGGGCACCTGTTTGCTGGAGGTAACATCTCTGAAGACCACTTGATGAGGCTGTGCAAATGCTGGAAAAAAGAGCTGACTAAATTTTGCTGCCTTTTTTTTTTTTTTTTTTTGGAGGTTTTTGCTATAGGGCGCATGCACTCACCAGACAGACAAAGAGAGACAGAAAGCGAGAAATCACCCCCCGGGGGGATGGCCATGCTGCAATCCCTTCTCCTCCATTCTCCTCTCGGGGTCTTGGACACACATGCACACACACCCGGCGTGAGTTTAAGCCATCGGGTTCGGTACTCGAACCACTGTCGACTATGTGGGAGTTCAGCAACATAGCCATTACTCTAACTGCTGGTCCCAGGATTCTGCTGCTTTGATGTATTACTTAAGTGATTGTCAGTTGAACTGTAATTCCTCAAGAAACTCATGGGAAAGAGACAGGAAGAAGAAAATCTATCCCCCTCCAACTTTGCAGTCTTCTAATACAAGCATCTCAGTCAGCAAACCCTAACAGAGAATCAGAAGACAAAGCCAAAATGCTGTTTGCAGAGTCTCAGCTCCAGCACCAAAACAGAGTGTAAAAGGATGAATTTGATGGTGAAAGGAAAGAGTCTACTAATTGGCACGTGGCTTTAGGAAATAACCAACTTTTGCCTGGAACTTAGTATATCCTTTCACCAAATCCTCCCAGAAAATCTGCTGACTTTTGGCAAGCACATAGTTTCCCCTTTTCTTATGGTTTATGATTGAAGGAAGAATGGAAAAAGGTTGTTCAAGGTACCTATTTACATGTGATTCTAAATTAGTGGTCCCCATTTTTAGTGAGGGTCTATTTTTATTTTGTAAAATAAACTACAGTAGATCTTTGACAATTGTTTTCCTAAATTTTTAGGGGTTGTGATCATTATATTTGGAACCTGGGCATTTTTCAGTGATGAAAGTGATCAGAAGTCGAATGCATGATTTATAATCCCTTAGTTTAAGTAATTAAGATACTTGATAGTAGCTAAATTTACCTCTTTGCATATCTAACAAAATATAATTATCCAAAAATACATGAGTGACAGGTATTTTGATATTATAAACATAATGGATTTGCCTATCTCAAATTAAGATAGAAATATTAAACTCTTATATTCAAATGATAATGTAAAAGGTTTTGTATATAATAAATTGCTTCATTTCATACAATTTTTGCTTGCCAAGAAGATTTTAATTATGAAAAACATTATATGGTATCAAAATTAAGGTTAAATCAAGTAATCATTTCCATCATAGTTATGTATATTAAACTAAGTTCTAGAGGGAGAGCAAACCTGTGGAAGGCAGAACTAAAAATCTCACTCTTTAAAGTAAGTATTTGTTTCTATCCTGCCTTAAATAAATAGCTTCCCAATGAAGCATTTCTAATCTTGTTACATAGACTTGATCTTGATACCTATATTTAGATAGAAATTATTATATCAACAAGATTAACAGAGTTAAAATGGATTTTACAAAGATTATTTAAATAGTTCTCTACAATCTTATTAACTGACAATTTCTTATAATATTTCCCAGTGGTAGAATTAGGAAAAAACAAATCCAATTTTACAAACACACACACACACACACACATTACTTTTGAATTAAATCCAATTTTACACACACACACACACACACACACACACACACACACACATATATATATATATCACATAAATGGTTAGTCATTTTAAAGTGCCTCTTACCTGTTAACATCCCAGATTTTACTAGTTGTATCCAGTGAGGAAGAAGCCACAAAATTGCCACAGGAGTGCCATGTGCAGGACCACACTGCATGGTTGTGTCCTTCCAAGGTCAAAATGCAATTGCCTTTGGATAGGTCCCATAATTTAACTGTAGTATCACCACTTGCGGTAGCCAACTTGTTGCCACTATTTGCAAGAACATAAAAAGATCATTTATTTAAAAAGTAATCTACAATTAATTCATTTTTTATGAATGACTATTATCCAAAGATTGTGTGTATCTGAAATTTTTTTACTTTTAATGGCATACCTAAATGACTAAATCTAATAAGATTTTTAAAATATCTTATTTGGGGCAGGACCAGCATATGGCATAAAGGTTAGGTTGCTGAATTCCCACATAGTTAACATGGTTGAATCCCAGACCTGGTGACTTAAAACTCACACTGGGTGCATGTGTGTGCATGCCCAAGATCCCAAGAGGACAATAAAGGGGAAAGGATTGTCTAAAAGACAGAATTTCAGGGTCAAGAAAAGTGTTTTGTTACTTGCTTGTATGTTTGGTTATTTATAGGCTAAATCACCCCTGAGAGGGGTGATTTTTCTGCTTTTTGTCTCTGTCTCTCTGGTGAGAGCACATGCCCTATAGCAAAAATCTCTCACCAAAAAAAAAAAAAAAAAGAAATTATTTGGGCCTACACAATTACTTACTTAGGTTCTTTAGCAATTGAAGCTGTTGAGAGAAACTGCTCTTGTGCAGTTTCTAAATTAATTGTTCTAAATTATTCTAGATTAACTCACTAAATTAGTGATGTTGTTAGCAGATGGTTTGTTCAGGGTTATGTATTAGGCTCTACAGATGATGTGGTCACATGTTATGTATTAGACTTTATGGAAAATGTGGCCTCAGAACAATGAAAATTTAGACATGGGCTAAGACAGTTTCAAAAACATAATAAACATAAAAAAAGAAGGTCAGTATTGCTTGTGTGTGGATTAATTAAAAGTTCCAGGAGTGCAGTTTGAATGATGAAGTAAGAAGGGAATCGGGAATGAGGACTTTTGAGCCAGATCATGAAAGAGGTTTTCAAGTGCTGATGGTTCAGGATGAGTCATTGGGTTTTACATTTGGGTCATCAATAATGTTTAAAAAGCAAAGGCTTTCAAATGATGTATTCAAAAACTCTTTTAAGAAGTGAGTGGGTGTCAGTGATGTGAGCAGATATACCTAGTTTTGTTTGGTTTTTGTTTGTTTGTTTGAGGAAATACCAGCTACAAGAAAATTTCAGCTTCATTATCGAATTCACATCTGTCCACATTATATGCTCCTTCCATGCATTTTCTAAGAAACTTTCTCTCACTGAATTTTAATGAACTGCTTATTTGCCTTCCTCCTTGCCAGACTATTTTAGAATGGAAAACTGTGTTTCTTCTCTCCGGTTCTACAGCATCAAGCATATGATTGGCCAGTCGAACGGCTCAGTCAGTGTTTTCAAGACTAGCACGTTTATGAATGAATGAAGTTATGCTATTAGTGAAGAAGGAAAAGTGTCTAGTATTTCTAAAAGACAGAATTTCAGGGAAAAGAAAAGTGTTTTGTTGCTTGCTTTTATGTTTGGTTATTTATAGGCTAAAAGGGAAATGAATTTTTTTTTATCTGCAAAGATAAAACAGCCAGTGTTGGAGAGGGAGAACTTGAGTGTGCTGCAGAGAAAGTGGATTATAGAATGAGGCTGTGATCATTAGTATTAGAAAAATATATCTATTTTATTCTTCAAATGAGCATTATTTTAAAAATGACTATATCACAGGTGGTCCTCCACCAATTGATAATGAAAACTTTGCTTTGCAGCCATTGCTTATCTGTACACACGTTTGCCTTTTAAATAGGTATACATCTTTCTCAGATCTATCTGTCTAGGACTAGTATGCTATTATGGATAAAAGTCTGGGTCTAGGATAAGAATGATTATTTTTTTTAAAGAATTTTTTTAGTTAATTTTTTATTTATTTGTTTATTTATTTTATTTATTTGCATTTTACCAGAGAGGGATAGAGTGAGAGCGAGAGCGAGAGCAAGAGCGAGAACAAGAGAGAGAGAGAGAGAGAGAGAGAGGAAACGTGAGAAAGCAAACCACCAGGCCTGGGACCTGAACCACAGTTGGTTATGTGGGAGTCCAGTGCCTCTAACCACCACACCACCTGTCAGTTCCCTAGGATAAGAATGATTGTGATATCTTTCAGCCTGTAGTTGAAAAACTCTCCTGCATAAGTTTTACATACTTCTTTCTTGTTTTAAACACTTTTCCAAAACAAACAAAAATCACACCTAAATTACAACTAGAATTGAGCAGTATTATTTCTTTATACATCCCGTAAGCTGATATTAATCAACAATAAATATAAATAATATTCTAATAAGTTTTAATATGTTGAGATGATACCTCATCTATATAAATTCAACTAAAACCAAAGTCCATAGAATATAAATTCCTGAATAATCTTTTAAAATGTTCTTGCCACTCAAAATGCAGGGTATGAAATAAAAAACAAACAAAAAACCTGTATACTTCAGCTGTCTCTGAGGTCTGAGAGAGATTGAGCAAGTGGAAAAGAATCATGCACTAAAATTCAAAAGGTAAGCTTTATGTGAAACAAGAGCCAGGTTTATGCTGGGTTCCAACAAATAAGAAGAACCAACTCTCAAAAAGCAAAAAAAGCAAAAGTGGATGCTATGGACGCAACCCCTTCCCCTATTCATATAAAAGACCGTAACTACCAGCATGATGGTATTGGGAGGTGGGACTTTTGGGATATAATTAGATTTATGTGAGGTCTTAAGAATGGTGACCCCCCTCCCCTATTTGGAATTAGTGTGCTTAATAGGACAGGAAGAGCTGCACATACTCTCTCCTTGAAATGCAGGGTCCTAGAAAGAAGGTGGCCACTGCAAGCCAAAAAGTGGGCCCTCACCAGATCCTAGCTGCCACTCTCAGTTTGAACTTCCAGTGTTTGGAATAAATGTTAGAATAACATTTTTGCTTTTTTTTTTTTTTCCCAAGACTGTAGTATTTTGTTAAGTTAGACCTCTGGGTCAGGTTGTGAGTATATAGCCTAAATGATCCCAATTTAGGCCCTCAACATTCCACAGATAAAATTTAACTAACTATGAGCCTAAAAAAAAAAAAAAAGACTAAACATATGATGGGAAATAAAAGACAGACGGAGAATGAGCTAAAAAGGTAACAAGGACTTTTACCTAGGAGAACTCCCGTTGTCGTAATTACAATATGAAGTATAGGGTGTAAAATAACTATGAAAGGAATGTATACAGAAGCAACCAACGAAGAAAAAAATGATCAAGCTTTGGAAGTTTGTAAGTCAGCAAATCTGAACATATAGAGTATTTGGAAATGTTGAAACTCTACTTATTAAAATTAAGGGATCAGTAAATGGACTAAATAACTGATTAGATATAATGAAACAGAGTAAATGAATTAGACAATAAATATTAAAAAAACAAAGCAAACATTTTTGTCTACCAGAGATAGAGTGAACACTATATAGAAGTTAAGAAACATGAGGCAAGAGTTTAAAAAAAAATCCTATCTAAAATCCATAAAGAGAATGGAAATAAAGGCACATATTCAATAATCAAAGAACTAAAGGTAAAGAATGTTCAGAAATTAGAAAATTTGAGACCTAGAACCACAAATTCAGGAAGAAAACTCTATACCAAATACGATAAATAGTGTACACAAAAAGAAATCTATCCTCAGATACATTCCAGTAAGCTGTGGAACATCATAGGTAGCAATAATAATTATAAGAGAAGGAAGAGAGGGAAAAGCAGACGTCTGCCAGAAATACTACTACGCACTCTATACATACACTTGACCCTTGCAATCACCCTGTAAGATGAACGCTATTAATTCCCAAACACTGGAACAAATTCACAAAAACGTCACAGAGATGAATTTTCTTCAGAGAGATAAGAGAAAATGATGTTACTCTAGAATTATCGAAAAATATCTGTCAAAACGAGTGCGAATACAAATATCCCAGCCAAACAAAGCAGTCCTCCCTTACAGGAACTACTAAGATGTATTTTAGGGAGAAAAAAAGACCCTAGAGAAAGATGATCTGAAATAAAATGGTGAATAATGAATTTGGTAAACATATAAGTACATCTAAATACTTGTTAGGATAAATAAGCAAACAGAAATTCTTGCAAAAATAAAAACAATGAAACAGGAATATTAACAATGTTCATGTATTTCTCACAAGGTAAAGACATTGATTAATTTCAAATTTTACTGAGTAAAATCTATAAGGCAAAATGTCCAGGGTAACTACTTTAAGAAAAGAAATATTGTAAATAACTTCTAAACCAGTATAACCAAAAACAAATAGGTAAGAAAAACTAACAATGACAAATACCTAATCTATTCCAAATAAAGAAGATAAAGAGGGAAAACAGCTCTGCATAAGTGGTACAAATAGAAAACAAATGAAAATCCTAGAAAGAATATAAAACATGTGAATCATCTCAGTAAATACAAATGGACTAAACTGGAAATGAAAAGGTGAATATTTTCCAGTTTGACCAAAAGGAATAAATTCAGCTATGTGTGTTTTAGAGGAGACATACTAAATTCCTAAAAACCATACAAATGTTGAAAGTAAAAAAAGAAGAAAAATATAGAAAGAGATCAAAGAAATGAAAACAAGTAGATTAATTGAAAAATGTATTTATGTATCCCTCAATGTTATAAACTTTCCTTAAAAGGTTTAAACAATAAATTATATAAAAATATAAATTTACCTTACCTAATAAAAAGTGGTAATGTTTGAAGCAGAAACACAAAAATAACTAGTCTATTATCAAAGTAAAAAATTTACACACCTCTTTCAATTTAGTTTTCTAATTCAAAATATAAAAACAGGAGATTCTGAAGTACAAAAATTATAAATCTTATGGCCATATATAAAATCCTTCACTATATAACTTGGGACCACGCATTTTCCTCAAGCACATATGAAACATTTATAAAATCAGGTCATATAATAAGCTACAAAGGAAGATAAAAATTCATGGGACCAGCAGTTAGCGTAATGGCTATGTCGCTGGACTCCCATGTAGTTGAGCATGGTTCATGTCCCAGACCTGGTGGCTTAAACTCACA